GAGAGAGAGAGAGAGAGGCTGTGTATGTATGAATTACCACCGTTTTGCCGTGTTTCTCTATTAACAGTGAAGCTGTGGTTTTAAAACCACTTAAGCTCTGCGGACCCGGATACGGGTCCAAAACCACGTAAAAAATGTTTATGCTTCATTTGCAAAGCCTTCCTTATATGGTAACAGCCCATATATGGTATCATTTGAAAGCTTAGAGTCTCTTCTTTACAAAGTATACCATAACTTTTGGTTTTATGATAAATAAAGCAGTAAAATTAAGCTTAGAAATGTATTCGTCCCACACACGAATTTCCGCCTAATGATTGCGAATAATTTTTTCGAAGAATGTGTATTTTTTATATTTTTCACAAAACAGTCAAGTCATATATCACAAGAAAGCTCTCATTCTCAGGAATTTGACTATGTAATTTATTTAATTGTGTGACAATCACAGATCGAATGATCTTCAATAGAATCACGATGTGAAATTTGATATCTCTGAGGAAACATTCAGATGCGTCACATTCCTACTCGCACCATTGCTTCAGTCAGCCGCAAACAGCCAAAAACTCTATTATCTTTTAGATTAGAATCTCTTCTTTCAAACGAGACCATTTTCACGTTTCTGTGTGCTCGCATTGGTGAGAAATCCACTGTTTGGTCGCAGAAGTGCAACAGAAGCGCACCAGAGAAAAAAAAGACGCTCTTTTGGCAAACACGCTCTCCAAATCACAGCAGCTCCGGCCAGCGGCTCTTATGTTCTACAACTCTGGGCTACTCTGGGCTGCTCAGTGGGCGGCAATAGGTCAGATTACACGCCACTCAAGCGCGCCGGCCACTCAGAGCCATGAAATTTGACACCTCTGGGTCAATAGACAGGAGGGGGGAGAGAGAGGATCCGGGTCAACGCTGGAGCTGTTTTGAGCGTGGGTCTTGTAGTTTTCTTTGACTGTTTTGAAGGCGATAATGCACGCTGGAAGATAAACGCATCGGCGGCTCGGATAATGGCAATCTATGAACATTATAATGAAAGTTATATATGATGAAGAACGTTCAGCGGCGCGGTCAAGAGGAGAGGACGCATCTGGTGAGCACATATGAGCACTTTTGCTCCGTTTTTGATAGAATCATTATTTTGAAACCTAAAAGCACAGCTAACAATCTGATAAACGATGTATTGACAGTAAAGTACAGTACAGGATGCGTTTCAGTAAATATACATGGATATTATTACAGTGCTGTGTTTATAAACAGCTATTTCTTTGTTTCACATTCTGAAGACCAGATAGCAGCTGCACGAATTTCCGCCTAATGATTGCGAATAATTTTTTCGAAGAATGTGTATTTTTTATATTTTTCACAAAACAGTCAAGTCATATATCACAAGAAAGCTCTTATTCTCAGGAATTTTACTGTGTGGTTTATTTCATTGTGTGACAATCACAGATCGAATGACCTTCAATAGAATCGCGATGTGAAATTTGATACCTCTGAGGAAACATTTAGATGCGTCACATTCCTACTCGCACAATTGCTTCAGTCAGTCGCAAACAGCCAAACACTATACATTATCTTTTAGGTTAGGATCTCTTCTTTCAAACAAGACCATTTTCACGTTTCTGTGTGCTCGCATTGATTGGAAATCCACCGTTTTGTCGCAGAGGCGCACCAGAGAAAAAAAGACGCTCTTTTGACAAACACGCGCTCTCCAAATCATAGCAGCTCTGGCCAGCGGCTCGTATGTTCTACAACTCTGGGCTGCTCAGTGGGCGGCAATAGGTCAGATTACACGCCGCTCAAGCGCGCCGGCCACTCAGAGCCGTGAATGACACCTCTGGGTCAATAGACAGGAGGGAGAGAGAGAGGATCCGGGTCAACGCTGGAGCTGTTTTGCGATTGGGGTTTGTAGTTTTTTTAACTGTTTTGAAGGCGATGATGGCACGCTGAACGGCGAACGCATCGGTGAGCGCATATGAGCGCTTTTGCTCCGTTTTTGATAGAATCATTATTTTGAAACGTAAAAGCACAGCTAACAATCTGATAAACGATGTATTGACAGTAAAGTACAGTACAGGATGCGTTTCAGTAAATATACATGGATATTATTACAGTGCTGTGTTTATAAACAGCTATTTCTTTGTTTCACATTCTGAAGACCAGATAGCAGCTGCGAGCCCATGGCAGAAGCAGTTAGCGGCGCAGCTAGCGGCACAGGAGGCAGCAGGATGCTGATGCTGATGCAGGATGCTGTCCCCTGCATCACTGGGGACTAAAATTATGCACATAAATGGAATGATTTAAAGCTGGAGGATGTGGATTCTGTTTTAGATTGTAATAAACCACATG